GAGCGCTGTCCTCTCGGCTCCAGCACGGTGCGGTGGTGCAGGCGCATTGGAAGTGGGAGGCACTGGGTACCGGCGATGTAGCCTAGCTCGGAGGACATCAAGGGGGCTATGAAAGGGATGGAAAATCAGCAACCGGTGCCTGCTCCTGAACTTGGCCCAATGTTAGCCTGTGTCAGTGCTGACCCTACAGAGCCTCTGAATCCCTGGCACAACCAGACCTAGAAGGGGCAGATGCCCCAGTAAAGGAGATAAGACAACCCGAGCGTGGGTGTCCTTACAAAATCATAGATGTGCAAATATAATAGAGATGGTCTAAGGAAGGAGAAACTGGCCTGGTAAAGAAAGGAGCACAACAGTCTGGGTAGAATATGAGCTTATGAACCATAAGAAACAGCTGACGTGGAGATCTCCCCATACAGTAATACCCCCTGCTTTCAGCTTTCTAACTCAGACCAGTTTATTATGGTACCAAATCAAGAGTCTGAGCTACAGTCATTGCTTCAGTGGTGAGATCCTCAGCTAATTTAAAGCTCAGCCCAAGCTGATAGAGGGATCCTGATTTACACCAGCTGAGGAACTGTAGAGGATTTAATTTGAGACGGTTTTTCATCTCAGTGTTTGTGAGTTGTGCTTCAGCCTCCAAAGATCAGAGGTTTAACTGCAAGTCCATCAAGTCCGGAAAGTTGGATGTGTTGTATAACTCGATTTCCAGTGCCTGCTGCTGCTTGCTGGGTCAGCAGGCCATGAGAAGAGCCCTTTTGCAGCACTGCAATGTTTGCTCTTTCCATTTGGACTGGAAAATGGAAAGGACGGGGCTGAGAGGAATTAGAAGATACTCACAGAGCTTTCCTGAATGTAAGGTTAGCTCAGGTGTGCTGCCTATCCAGGCAAAGCCCAAAAGAGAATCAGTATTGATTTGCCCAACTGTTGACCCTCACCTATGCAATACAGTGGATTACTGAATACATTTCTACAGGCAATCCTACCAGAGCATCGTGGCCTCGACTTTTTCTGAACTCTCCAAATCAGGAGATGGAGGCTATGCCTACACCAGTGATTCTCGGACTTGTTAGACTTGAGGCACTCTTCATTAGCCTCAAGGCTAATGACATGCCAGCTCTGTGCTGTCACTCATGTTTTGACTAAAGAAAAATACTAGAGAAAGTCTTCTGTTGCAAAGAGCTTAGAAAGACCACAGCAGGTCAGGATGGTTTGGATGCTATGCATGCCTATTTGAAATCTCTGGGTTTATCTTGGGCATCATGTGTAGCTGTTTGTACACCTAATAGTGCTCACACTGTGTGGCACCCCACAGAGCCCTTGAAAGGGTATCCCAGCACCGAGGCATTGTAACACCCTTTGGAGAGTCACCGGTCTACCCAATGCCTCTGGTGTCCCCAGGGATGGCCACTCCTGAGCATCCCCCTACCGTGTCTACATGCCCTGAACCGGGAGGTGTGGTGGCTAAGCCGCTCCAGAGACCTCCCTCTGCTCCCACATGCAGCTGTTCTCAAGCCCATCAGAGACAGAGAGGTTGACTCTGGTGCACGATTTTTGGGATTAAGGTCACATTATAGGTGACCGAGGTGTACATGAGAACAGGCCTCCCTGGAGACATGTATGGGCATTACCCATAACTTGGAGGAAGGAAGGAGCCACACCAAGCCACTCAACAGGTACAGGCAGTGGCCCCTTGTGTGAACCTCCCCAGATCTTGGCTGGCTTCCTCTTCAAGGCTCACCTTTTACCAGTTTCCAGTTGTAAATTTCCACCTCGTCGGAAGCTTCTTTCTCGATCGCGATCTTCCGCAGGAGCTCCCTGGGGGTCTCCGAGCTGGGGGGCACAAACATGTAGACCAAAACCCTGTTCAGGTGCTTGGTACATCTGGGGGTGCTTATTTCATCAGTGGGCTTGACTCTGGCCTCTAGGCAAAAAACAAGGTCAGTGTTAGCTGTTGCTCGGATGTATAGCTACTAAGATCGGTACAAAGGCTGGAAGACAGGGCTTTCTAGTTTTCCTCTTGGGGCGTCAAACAATCAAGAGTTTTTTCGGGGGAGAACTGCACGCAGGTCCTGCCAGCAGGGAACCTCTCTGAGTTATTTATGACAAGCTTCATAGAGAATCAGAAAAAAAAGGGAGCTCCATCCCCTGCCCAGGGCAGGATCACCCCTGTCTAAATCATTTCCTCCAAGTTGCTCTTAAAAGTTGTCAAGGATAGAGTTTCTACAACCAACATAGCCACCTCCACAGTTAGAAGTGTCTTCTGACTATCTAATCCAGATCTCCCTCGTTGCAATTTCAGGATGTTGTGTCTTATGCTGATCCCTTTGGAGACAGATAATACCAGTAATCCATCACTATCCTCTTTATAGCCATCCTTTAGGTCTTTGAAGACTGTTATCTAATCCCCGCTCAAGCGTCTCTTCTCCAGACTATATAAACCTAGTTCTTCCAGCCTTTTTGTGTATGTCACATTTCTAATAGCTCTGATGATTTTTGTTGCTCTCTGCTGGTCCTTTTCCAATGTACATGCTTTCTAATCCAAGGCCTGTATACAGAGCATTACAGAGCTCAGACAGCAGCAAACTAAAAACTTCCACCAAACAAGGCAGGGCAAAATTCCCATCCTGGACCCGCTGATGGATCTTGACCATGAGACGCTCCTTTTGGGCACACAGGTTTATCATTGCTTTCAAACTGGGGAGAGGAGGCCTCACACGAGAGCCCTTAGACCTGGGCACTCCCGAATGTTGGGAATGCTTGTATCTGGTTTTGACTCCCATTTACTAATCTTAGAGTCAAAGCTTTAACTGGTATCAACAGCACAGCTGCATGGAAGCCAGCAGAGCTATGCTGATTTACTAGCTCAGGCTATTGTCCGTAAATTTGGAAGCGTACTTGATATGTTGGCCTAGCCTGAGGGACTGGTCTTCATCTGTGGAATGGGTAGAGATGAGACTGTTTCCATAGCATCTAAAAGGTAAGTGCTATGCCTAACCTTATTATCAGTATTAGGGTCACTCATGCTTTTGGGGCTTGGGCTCCAGGACATCCAAACAAAGACTCCTCTCCTGAGCTGTGGAGGAAAGGAAGGTGTAAAGCAGTTGTGGGGCTGTTGGCCTCCATTATTATGCTGGTCCTGGGACCTACGGTGGTGAATGCGGTGGATCAGAGAGAAAAATCAGTCAAACTGGTACTTTCTCCTCATCCCCCTCTCGGCAGGTGCCTGTCAAGCTGCATCCTTCTCTTTTACCCCAGTGGGTATACAAATGACACCAGGTTGGACCTGATTCTGACCTCAGTTCAGTTGGCATCAATCTTGCTTCCATTACATCAGTGAGACGGGACAGCGGGGCAAAGCAGAGCAGATCAGCACCGTGCCAGGATCCAGCCCCACACACCCACTCAGCATCACACCCGCTTGCATTCACTCACACCCGCCTGTCGGGGTGCCACTTACTCTGTCCATGCCACCACCGAATTTCGCGTGCCCTGTCAGGAGGGAGGGTGGAGTGGGAGCAACTCCAGAACCGCAGACTCCTCGTCCGGGCAAAGGTGAATATTCCTGCTCCTGCCCTTTCTGGCTCTGACTCCCAACTCCAGGGAGACCCTCGGCGTTCCCTGATTCCAGTTTGCTGCTCCTGATTCTGGTTTGACCTTCAGCTTTTGGCTTCTGACCCTAGTTAACCCTTAGCTTGGCTCATCTCCAGCTTCATTGTCCTGACTTTGGCTACGGCTCCAAGTCCAGTTCTGACACCAGCCTCTCCAGAGCCCAGCACCTGGGCTACACCTGCACTTCAGGTAGCTAACCTAGGCTAGGCCATTCCTGTCCCCTGCCTCCACATTTTTGGACCTCTGGGGAGACCCTCCTGCATTGCACAGACCAAGACTTTTTTCCTTTACCTAAGAAAATGGTAGAAGCTCCGTCGCCTAAATTTCTAAGACTAGGCTAAGCACAGAGGGATGGGACATAAGGAGCAAACCTTCCCTGGGGGACCATAATCAATTATGAGACTTAGCAGGTCTTCTCCATCTCTGATTTCTATGACTCAAGCCCAAAAGCTTTCAAAAAAGACCAGAATGCTACAAAGAGAAACCAAATTCCAGTTGTCAGGTACAAAGTTAGGATCTAACTGGGCCAACACATGCTTCTGCTGCTGCAGTCATGTGACTCCTCTTGCTCTCAGTGAGTGCATCTACACATGCATGTTACTGTGCAGTAGACTCATGTACTGCACAGTAAAGCATTGCCATCTACATGTGCACCTCAATTAGGGTGCACTAAATTACTTTACTTTGTAATATACTCTATATATTATCCTACAATATTATCCTTAATATTGTCCTTAATATTGTAGGATAATCCCGTCAGACACAGGTACTACCCAACAGCAGAGTAAATTACTGTGCTTAAATGCACATGTGCATGGTGACGTCATGATTAGTTTACTCTGGCTCAAATTGCCCCAGAATTTATTCAGTCACATTAATTGCATACGTAGATGCACCCAGTATATACATAAGTATTTGTAAGATGAAGGCCTTAGAACAAAGCAATTGAAAGAAACCAAAAGAGAAGCCTGTGGCTGGGAACAGACATTGCATTTGTCCTGGGACAAGCTGTGCCTGTGTTTGTCCAAGAACAGAAATGTCCCGGGATTGGCAGTACGCCTATTGCGCTTCCAGTCAGGGTTTAGCAAGTGGCCGAATGCACGGCCACTTTTCTGCCATTGATTCCATGATGTAATTCCTGGACAGCCATTCAGGCTCACTTCGTGATGTCCCAGGACGAACTGGTAGCCATTCCTATCACATGAATCTTTTTAGAATTTGTCCCGGGATAACAGACATGGACATCTGAATAACTGCTCTTTATCTTGGGATAAAATGGTTTTTCCCAGGACACATGTAACATCTGTTTGTAGCCTGTAGTAAAAGAGAAAGAAACACCAAGAGGAGCAGGTAGTGCTGATGAGCCTGATCTCTGTCCCGTCTCATACCTGAGCATACTTTGCAGCACTTCCCTTCTACTTTCTCTGGATATTCACAGGGATATTCCTTGGGACATGTGATCTTCTGGCAGTCCTGGACCCCATCTTTGCATGTGCACAGGATGCATGGCAGGGTGCCGTACAGTCGGAAGGCAGGGTGCCACACCTCTCCATGGGAGTAGGTCTTCCCGTTGTAAACGCAAGCTGGAGAGAAGGAGAGAAGGGGGTTCCTAGTAGCACCAGCAAGAGTAGTAATAGCAGGGATGTGCATTAGTAAGGTGCTTCTTATGCTGATGGGACTCTATCAAGCTATAAAAAGGGGGTACCGTCTACTGGCACTGCATTCCAGCCCCTCTGGGTGCAAAGGAGCCATAGAAACATGACACTGTCCTGTAGGACAGAATGTGAGAATGAAAATTGCGCAAAATGAAACAACAAGGAGGATTTAAACAGCAGAATAATGGAAACCAGAAGTGGAGAGGACCTCAAGAAACTGCCTAGATCAGTGGTGCTCAGTTTTGGCCCCTCAGGCCAGCAGGCTGAATCAGGGCCTGAATGCATCCTGTGCACCAGGATCAGGTCCTGAGGCCGTGTGCCACCGCTATCTATTCCCTGCATGCCCCAGGATCAGGTCCTGAGGCCCTGTGCCACCTCTATCTATTCCCTGCACCACCCCTGCAAGCTAGGTTTGCACCCCAGGGCCCCAGGCCACCTCTGGTCAGCTGGGATTGGGCCTTGGGGACCCATGCCACTCCTGCCTGGCTGGGATCAGGCTCTGAATGACCTGCACTGCCCCCGAATGCCAGGGTCAGGTGCAGGGTTACAGGAGCCCCACGGGGATAGATGACATGGTGTCTGGAGCTGGATCTGGCCCACAGGCTAGGGGTTGAGCACCCCAATCTTGTTCCTCTGCACAACAAAACAGGCAGTTTTAAGAGCTGGAGTTTGGACAGGGCCATGGGACTGACAGTCCTGCTTCTGCAGGAAGTGCCACGGTGTCTTTAATGAGCATGAGTGGTCAGGACTGGGGGGGATCAGTGACATGTATTGGGCCACTGGTTTCAGCCTCTGTAGACCCCCATGTGTCTTTGGAGGCCTCCTTCCTCCTTCCTGGGGACAAACCCACAAGGTGGCACTTGGAGGGAGGAAGGGTAAGGACCGTCAAGTTGGCTAAGTTTTCCCAGATGGTCCCATCAGGCTGCAGCAATAATTCCCCTCCACCTCCCGGGATCCTCAGCGAAGGAAGCAAATCCCCATGCAGGGATAATGCCACCCCTCAGCCTGCATTATAAGGGGAGACTCCTGAGAACAAGTGCTAAAGTCCTGCCCCTGGCTGTGTTCACCCTCCAGGATTCATGAAGGGACCCCAAACTGCTCCCTCTCTCACCAGCATCCCAGCAGCCCAGAAGAAGGCCGTGGAGTCTAGCCCAACCCATCACATCCCTTTAGCCTGGAAGGCAGCAGATCCACACATACAAGGGACACATGGATTAGGGTATCAGGATGGCTGCCAGTACCCAGCTGGCCCAGCAGTGATAGCTCATGCGAGTCACCCTCCCCATCCCGGCACTCGCATCCAGCCTCCCACAAGCCCACATTACCATCTCCTGCACTGATGCAACGACCTAGTACTCCCAGCCCACTCTGGGCACCCTTTTTCCAGGGAATATCTCAAAACCCGCCCGCCCCCTCCCAAAGGAATTACCTTTTTTATGCTTTTCTTTCAAGACGATTTGGACTGTGGTGCCACCTGCCCCTTTCGGCTTGAAGCCCCGGGGGATGAACTCCAGCGAGGAACTCATGATAGGGGATGGAGTCACCCCCCGGCGACCCGACCTCCGGCTGGCCATTTCCCCAGAGCACTGCTCTTGGGAATGTCTCTGTGAATGGAGGGAGACAAGGATATTCCTCAGACCCCAGCAGTCGGGCTGCCCTATCTCTAACACTTCACGAGAAGTGCTAAGGCAAAGTCATGCTGCCCTAGCACACCATGGGGAACATGTTCAAGGCTTCGAGAAGCCACAGGGCCCACTTGGGTAACCACAGGTCTGGAAGGAATCAAGAGAACTGGGCCCTTTTCCAAGCTCTGCCAGCAAAGCCACGCCACCTCCCTGCCAAGCCAGGGACCACGCTGAGATAACAGCACTGCCCACTTGCTCCCACTCTGAGAGACCCAACACCAGTCAATCAGATTATGTGTGGGTGCCCCGTTGCTGCTCTCCTGCTCCCTGAACATGTCTACATGTGCAATTAATGCTATTTGGCTTTACTGAGCACTAAATTTACTACCTGCATTTACTGCTACTATGCAGCTTAAATTTCTGTGCAGTAGACTAATTTACTATACAGTAAGTCCCTGCACATGTAGATGGTGATGCTTTGCTGTGCAGTAGATTAGTCTTGTAGTTAGCACAAAGGATCCTCTTGTAGTTATTTTTGTAGTTTTATAAGTTATGGAGGTGTGATGCTGGCAATGCATCTGCTGAGCTATGAAAAGAGCAAGGGCAAGACATTGTAAGTGACTTCATCCCACAAACCTGGCATGAGCCCTCCAACTCTAAATGCAGCCATGAATCAAGCTAAAGAAGCAAGGAGCTCACTTTTTCCTCCCTAATATTGTGAAGACCGAGACTAGGCCATACCACAGTAACAAAACTCCCTCTAGCCCTGCCCAGGCTCTGGCTGCCACGCTGGAGCTATGTGCAGAGGAATGAACTCCTTTCACGTGAGGAAAAGAAGGGAAGCCAGCCTCCTGAGTGACAGCGCTTGCTACCCAGGCATGGGAAATAGGTTGTGTTTGCATTGGCTTCCTTTCCGAAATGTCCCATTGTGGCTCAGTCCAGTGCAGCTCTTCCAATGGCAGGAGACAGGAGGAAGCACTCTTATGGTTAGGGCTGTGGGTGGCCTTTAATGCATGAACTACCATTGCTCAAGCTACCTAATAGAGTCAGCAGAGGAGTTCAGCGGTCAAAGCACGAATATGAGTGCCAGGAAACAAGGGTTTTACTGCTGGGGACCAACCTTGCATCTCTTTCTCCTGACCCCATTGGCTTGAACAGAGGGTAGGGCAAAGCAGAAGCTGGTCGGAGATCCCAGCGCTGCTCTGCATTCAAAGAGGGCTTCCAAGTATTTCTGAACGGAGAAACCCCTTGTACACGTCAGGATTTTCTCCTGCTGGTTGGTCACCACCATAATACCTGAGTCTCTTCAACATACAATTCATAGCAATAATGAAGTTGCGAATGAGCAGCTGAAGACTCTGAGGTCCACTCCATGAAGTGCATTAGCAACTTCATTATTGCTATGAATTGCATGTTGAAGAGACTCCAGCTGGAGTCTGCTGAGCTATGAAACAACCAAGTCTGCTTGGGGTTGGTTTTTTTGGTTAAGGTTGGGTTTTTATTCATTTCTATATTATTTTTGGTTTGACTGATTTTTTGATCAAAGAATGACTGATAGGGCATGCATAGCAAAGTCATGGCTTTCCATGGACTGGTCATCAGAATTGGGTTAAAAGGTATGAGTGGAGTTTTAAAACACAAACATCACGTACAACACCTCTGTTTAATTGCAGGGGCTCCTCTTCGGTGGATTTCTCATAGGAACCATCTGCAAAAAAAACCCAAAGGTTACGACTGGGGCATAGCAGGGCAGAGTGGGAATGTCTCTTGACCAGCCCGCGGCTTCTGCTGCAGGACCTTCTCAAAGGAGAACCATGCAAAGCAGGCAGCGGGGTCAGGGTCTGACTCCACAAGTCTGGCACGGCGCTTGCAACTTTAGCATAGCCATAAATAAAGCAAAAGAAGCAAAGAGCTCATGTTTTCCTCCACTGCACTGTGCGTACACAGGCAAGCCAATAGGGAAACGGTTTCATAGGCAAGTGTGACTAAAAGGGACCTCATGATGCCATATCAAGTCCAGCCCCCTGCTCAAGGCAGGATCACCCATGACTAAACCATCCCAGCCAAGTGTCTGTCCAACCTGCTCTTGACATTTTTTAAGGATGGAGATTGCACAGCTTCTCTGAGCAGCCTGTTCCAGGGCTTGACCACCCTCAGAGTTGGAAAGCTCTTCCTAAGCTCCAACCTAAATTTCCTCTGCTGCGCTTGGGGTCATTGCTCCTCATCCTATCCCCTCCAGCTACAGGGTGTAGTCTATTTTCATCCTCTTTATAATCACCCTTCAGGTGTCTGAAGATGGTGATCAAATTCCCCCCTCAATCTCTTCTCCGGACTATATAGCCCTTGCCTTCCCTCGTCAATCACGCTTCTAATCCCTCTTGTTGCTCCCCGCTGGACCCTGGCTGCCATGCTGGGGATTATTCTGGGAAGAATGGGCTCCTTCCAAATGACAGTCAGAGGAAACACCTTTAAGTGATTAACGCGGGGGGGGGCGGCAATTATTTTGGGCGGAGGGCCGCTTACTGAGTTTTGGCAAGGCATCGGGGGCT